CGAAATTGGCTGAGACATGCCATCTAGAGATTGAGTTTGAGGAGGTTGATGATGTTGTCTTCTCAGTAATTGGCCAAAGTTCGATTCATCTCTCTGGATACTATGTCCGTGCAAGCAGCAGGTCTAATATGGGAGATGATGAATCGTATCCTTCTCGATAGTGTCATGTCTTTGTTTCAATTATGTAACTCTCAGACTGTGAAGTCATTCTTAACTTGTAATTAGAGAATCTTATGGGGAAGATATTGGGCACTCCGACACTGATGAGGAGCATGATGCCAGTGAGGACAGCTATGAATCTGACTTTATTGATGATCGTGAGGTTCCTGAGAAGTATGGATCTGATTCTATAGATGATAGTGATGATGAATGCACCCTTCGACGCCGCTGCAAACAAAAAGGTAAAAGGTTGACCCATGAGGTTTTACTATTTGATATTTGTCTGGATCTGATCCTGCATATCGTCAAACCGCATTGTACCCACATTGAACCAGGATATTGTACTGTTGGTAGACTATCACTTAGATAGCTTCTGGCCTTGATGTGAATTTAACATTGCCTTTGTTGTTATGTTCTTACTATTACCATTATACTTAGTTTCTTCTTTTATGTGTTATTATCTGTCTAGACAGCTTTCTTAAAGGGGTGATACTAGAGTGTCCTATGATGGTGCACATGCACCAGGGAGAAGAAAAAATTCAATATCAACCAGCTCATTTCAACCATATAATACAATATGTTTTTAGATATTTACTAGATCCGCGCACAAGGATAGCTTATGCCTAGTTTCGCCCCTGCTTGCACGTTTATTCACATAAAACCATTGAACATTTCCATACGTTTAATGTATAGATATCTGCTCACAGTTCCATTTTCATGTTTTCTAACAAAGTTCCAATTTTGTGTAATTAGCTGTTGAAAAACCGACTCGAAAGGCTGAAAGACGGTGGCGCTTGAAGAAGCACCAAGTAGATAGCACCGATGACAATGATGATGATACTCCAGTCAAGAAGCCTGTTGTCAAGTGCAGTGCTAAAATATTTGATAGCGGTGATGACGACACTCCAGTCACGAAGCCTGTTGACAAGCGCAGTGCTCCTTCCATATTTGATAGCGGCAGTGATGAAGATGATAATGTACCTATATCTGTTGCATCGGGTAAGAAAGACAATGCTAAGGTTGCTGAGGAAACTGACCCTCGAAATGGACAGGCAAATGACGTCACCAAAAAAAAGATTATTGATGTTAAGAAAAGAAAACATTCTGCCATCAGTGAAGATCCTGCATTATCAATGTATATCTTTTGGTTCCTACTTAGGCTTTTATTTATTTCTCATATCTACGACCCACTGATCTATAACTAATAACATATCATGATCAGGGATACAACAGATGCTAATGCAACATCTGTTTCAAAACAAGGTGCTGAAATAAAAAAGAAATCAAAGAAAAAGATGAAAAATCAATCAGGGGAAAAGGATGAGAAGCAGTCCAATATAAGAACATTGGAAGATGGGTTGATGGTAGAAGATCTATCAATAGGAAACATTGATGCAAAAGTGGCTTCTGATGGCTGCAAGGTAGCCGCTTTTAGTTCTTTCCAGAGAGTTCTGTTGGATATGCTTTTAGTTGCAAATTTCATATGAATGGGCTTGATAAAGTTCCCTCTATGATGACCTTTCTATCGTCAGTTTCACACAGATTTCTACTGACAAATGTATTGCTAGCAGTTACTTGATCATGCATGGCTTTACGGTCAATACACTAAGTTTTCAATTTCACAGGACTTGTGGGAAAAAGAAATGATGCCAGCTATTATGTTTTTTTCGTGCAGGTCTACATAAAATATGTTGGCATGTTGAAGAATGGGAAAATTGTTCAGTCTAATGTTAGTGAAAAACCTTACAAGTTCAAGCTTGGTAATATATTTGCAAACATGCTCACTTTTATACTACATCTTGAACTTCTTAATATAAATATTAATGCTGTACCTTGTGCTGATTAAGGTGCTGGAAAAGTTATTCGTGGATGGGATGTTGGTATTCGTGGTAACCACCTCAGAGCTTGATTTTTTTTCAAGGTCATTTGAGTTAGGGTTATGGGTTATAATTTCATAATTTATTGTAGGTATGCGTGTTGGGGAGAAAAGAAAGCTTACAGTCCCACCTTCTATGCTGTACGCATTCTGACATCTTATTCTTTTTTGTTGTATATACACATCCCTCTAGAGAATCTGTATGAACACTTCATTTATATTGCTTATTGATGGTTTTGTATTCTGCAGCTCTGGTGGTAAATCAGTGGGAGAAGTACCTGAAAATTCTTCAGTCATATATGAAATCGAGTTAGTGAAAGTGAAATAGAGAAAAATGTCAGGCTTTTGCATGTGCCCTATGTCAACATCTGCAACAGTTACAGGAATTTTGTTGATATGCAGATGACTCATGCTCATATTTTGCTTCCTTCTGGAAGAATTTCTATGCGGCACTCTTGCCCCGCACCATAGGACATTTAGCAGTGGACTGCAGCGGATGCTTCTCTATGCATGCCTTGAGCAGAAAATTTTGTCAGTCTAGCAAATGTTACTACTTGGTCTTGGAACTGCCTAGCTACATTACTTTGTAATATGATGGTTGATTGGGTGAAGCACTATTGTGGTCTGGTAATTTGCCATAGTGGCTACTTCACGGTTCACTGCTTTGAATCATGTTTCTTTTCTCAATGATTGATTTAGTGGCATAACAGTTTGATCAGGTCTCTTAGACTTACGTGCCTTCTTGAATCTTAGAAGTCTTTCTTACTATAGAAGTGGATTTTTTTTTCTTTCTTGTCATGTTCTGCATACATTGAACCTGCTTTGGTGTAGGCCCTGTGATTCTTGTTAGGCCTTGTTTATTTCTCCCTCCTGAACTTTAGCCTCTATCACATCGAATATTTAGACATATACATGAAGTATTAAATATAGACTAATTATAAAATTAAATGCACAGATTGAGACTAATTTGTGAGACGAATTTTTTAAGCCTAATTAGTCCATGATTTGACAATGTGATGCTACGGTAAACATATGCTAATGATAGATTAATTATGCTTAATAAATTCGTCTTGCGGGTTACCGAGGACTTCTGTAATTTATTTTATTATTAATATTCAAACACTTGATGTGACATCCGATGTGATACCCCTAAATTTTAGCCTCTGGATTTAAATGTGGCCTAGGTGCCCACCGTCAACCAGGTTTTGAACTTCGATAATGATACTGCGTTTGTCCTGTGTCGGACGCAGCTAACTAGGCCTGCGGGACTGGGCCACAGCCTGCTCCCGCCCCGCATACAGAGTTCCTCATCAAGAACGAAGACGAAATAAAATAGAGCGACGCATCTTTCCTCCTTTCGCATCGCCGCTGCGGGAGCCTCCACTGCACCGTCGACGTTAGCTCGCTTCTTCTTCGCCGCTGCGGCCGCGAGCCTCTCCCCCCACTCCATGGCGGCTTGAGCAAGCCACCACCCCTCCCCTCCATGGATCCAGCCACCCCTCCTCCTATCTTCCTTCAAGTCCGGCGGCCTCCATGGTGTCCCCTCACCCCACTCCATGGCAGTCGTGACCCTCCCCCGCGTCCCATCAGATTTGGCCCTCCCCTACCCCGGCCGGCGATGCCCTCCCCAGATCCGGCAGCGTTTCCTCTCCCTCAGCAGACTGCGGCCATGGCGGGGGTGTGCAGGCGTGCGTCATCCAGCGAGCCTGCGCCACCGTAATTGCACACTAGGTAGGTCATGGGCGTGCGGCAATGCCGTGTTTCAAGTGTTTCTAGACGCTTTTCAGATATGTTGCAAGCCCATGTGTTCAAGTATTTCAGTTTGTTTTAGACGTATGTTTTCAATTTATTTCATGCGGATGTTGTAAAAGTAGATCGGGATGTTGCATATATTGCAATAGTTGTACACATATGATGCAAGAGTCTATCCCCAATGTTTCATCTGTTTTTTTACACATATGTTGCAAGTGTTTTAGACGTATGTTTCAAGTGTTTCATCCGTCTTCTTTTGTATGTTGTAAGTGTTGCATCTGGATATTTCAAAAGTAGATCGGGATGTTGTACATGTTGCAATGGTGTTTCAACTGTATGTTGCAAATATTTTATCTGGATGTTTCAAAAGTAGATCGGGGTGTTGCACGTCGCAGCCGGTGGCTGTCGCTGCTGCTGGGGCACAGCCATGGGTCAACCCAGGGCTTCCCCGTGCGGGGCAAGGGGTGGGCACGGGACGCGAGTCCCTGCGACGGACGCGAGCGTGGGTGCTGGGGCAGGATGCGGGACGCAGGGCGTGGGGTGGGATGCGGATGCCGATGCCGATGCCGTCTGGACGCTAGGCCTCCGTTTGAACTTATGCCAAATTTGCCTCTGAAACTGTAGAGAAGAAACCCGCAAGCAGTAGGTTTACCTCAACACATGGATAACAGTTCAAAAAAAAAACACAACACGGATAAGATTCGAAACTAAAGAGGCAGTGCGTTTGCCACCTGTAGAAATTCCTGCAGCTTTATATGTCTTTGCTTCCAAAAAAACTGAGACTTTATCGTTTATGAAAAAAGAGAGGTTTAGGCTTCCTATTTTGTTTTAAAGAATTGTGCGTCAATTTTGTGATTTTGCATCTCAAACCTTTTTAAAACTTTGCTCTTGTATGCCTGTAGGGTTTCTAATTGCGGTTCCGTTACCTGGTGACTGTTGAGCCTGGCATACTCACATCACACCTCCAGTAGACCTTGTTCCATTGGTATAATTCATTTCAATTCACAGGATTCTGGATTCTGTAGCAAAAACAACACTTAGTCGGCTATCCCAAAGCCGAACGTCTCTCTCCTTGCATAAGATAGAGAGGCCTTATTTCCTGGCACTTATTCAGAAACAACATATGAGCAAGTCCATAAGCCCAAATACGGAGGCATCACGCAGCACAGTGTGTCCGTCTGCCTCTTGAAATTGACAATTGTAGCTTGAAGCTCTAGGAAGGAGAGCCAAGGTAAGACGCCAGCCGCAGAATGTCGCAGAAGACGCCACCCGCAGTCACCTCTGCGCCTGCGCCTGGACCCCGCACGATCAGTGGCTGCTCCTTGTACCTCGAGGTGGTGAAGGCGATGATGTTGTCAGAGCCGGAGAGCTGCGCGAACGGGTGATCCCTCTTGTACCTACATAGTTCCACCTGTCCCCTCTTGTTCACCGTGTCCACCACTCCAACGTAACGCAGGACCTTCAGAAGGAAAAAGGGAAGCTAAATCACCTCTGCTCAAGTAATGTTGGAAATATGCACCGAGAATGGATCCAACAAAGCAAAAGCTAGATCTCATGCATCACACAATCCAATTGTCATGTCCCGATAGAAATGTATCTGATCAGAGTCACGACATGGGAAACAGAGGTCTACTCACTTCGTCTGCAGCCTCAGCATCACTGCGTTGCCTGGCCCAGTCCTCATCAAAGGACGGTAGCTTTTGCATGAATTCATCTGCTGACGAGCATGACTGCGTGATAAAAAACAAATTAGGAAGATTGAAATACAAGGCATTAGTTGCTAAGAGGAGAATAATCTTACTCCAAGTGCTTCTGGCACAAGGCTTTTCACAGGAATATCGGAAAGTTCAAGCCTCAAACCAGATTCCCTTGCAAGGATAATGACCTGCTCCAATTGGGGTGGGGGGGGGGGGGGGGTAAAAGTATGAGTGACTAATGAAGATTAAAGAACAAGAAAAAAGAACTACATTAAATGTAAGTTTGGTTTTCTGTTTTTTGAAACCCTTACACACATAGTCAAGGCTAGGAATTTCGTTACATGGTCAATCAAAAAGTGTGAAGATGAGGGCATAATGATCTTTTCTTCCTCACCTAGTATTGTTGTGTCCTGGAGACAAAACTATAAATTTGCGGTGGCCTATGGCGAAATCAAACATAATAGTGTCCTATAGGCAAAGCCAGTGTTGAAAATACACTTTCCCCATTATCTTTGGTCATATCCTCAACGTTTTAGTTTTATGTGTTCTGTAAGGATTCTTGTTGGTGCACATACAGAAATCAGAAATTGTCCCGCTCAAAGAAAAAAGAAAAATAAATAAATAAACCATCTAGTGTGCTGATAAATTGAAATACAGTGCCTGGTGTAAGAAAGAATAAGTATGATATTCAATAACTGTTTGACAGAAAACAGGGTCTACCTTTCGGGCAACATCAGTTCCAGATAGATCATCTCTTGGATCAGGTTCAGTGTATCCTGACTCTTTTGCTTCAGCAACAACATCACTAAACGTCTTTGTTCCTTTGAAATTGTTAAATATATAACTCAAAGTTCCACTGAAAAACAACTCTTCATATCAGCCATCAATAGAATGATACTGAATTTATTGAATAAAGAAGATTGTGGACTTTCTATTCAAGCATTCCATGCAAACATTTACTATGGTTCACTTGTGGTTTACCACAGTTGCAGAGTGGCACAGTAAAATTCTCCTGTAGCCTGGTCGGGAGCATACACACAAACCTGAAAATGCCCTCAATTCGCAGTATCTTATCACCCGTCTCCAGAAGACCTCGCAAGGTACTAATGATTGGGAGGCCAGCACCAACAGTTGCTTCATAAAAGTAATGAGTGTATGAGGCACGCTGCAGAGTCCGTAATTTCAGGTACTGTATCCAAGAAAAAAGAAACATTTATTAATCAATAAACACTGCAGCAGCAAATATGCATTCTGTATGGAATGTGCTTAAAATTTGACATCTTTATGTAACAAGCAAATAGATCTCAGTTAAGTGATTATGTCTTAAGATTCACAAATCACAGAAGTTTAATGTCTTCCAAGATTCACAAATAATGAGGTTTATGCCTTTAAGATTCTGGATTAGCCATGATCAGGTGATCAGTCATTGATGCAGTTAATGGGCACAAACTGACAGTCAATTAAAATACAGTCAGTGATCATTAAAACAACTATTTCTACACAGAAAAAATATAAAAAGTTCCACCAGTCAAATAATTACCCGGTCAAGTGGCCCAGAATTTGCTTTCTTATTCGGCGTGATGACATGAATACCCTTCTTTAACCAATCGTAATAATGGGACGCTACACTTGTATCCGCTGTGCAGTCCACCAAAACTTTGTTCGGAAATACATGATTATCAGATAAATGATGGACAAAATTATCAATATCAGCTGGTTCTGCTTCCTTTTGTAGAAGCTGTTTCCACTGGGTTAAGTCTATTCCCCTACAGAAAAACAAAAAGGAAAGTTTGTGAAATATTAAGGAAAACATAATTATAGTAGCAAACCCCAAAAGAGCAATGTAAAGCTTTAGGTCAGGAAAAAAAATCAGTAAAACAAATAAATAAATATCCACTGCTGTTTGAATGACATGCAAAATTTCTTAATTTTTAACAAAATTATAAGCTGATTCCTTCCTTCCTATAATGCGCCTGATAATACAAAATTATTTGCAGCAAGTCAGCACAATCACAGAAGAGGAAACAAGGATTCAATTACATACGTGTCGCTCAAAAGCATTGTACTTGAGCCAGTTATTCCAATGACACGCAGATCAATGTTCATATTTTCCTTGAGAACAGCAGCCTGCGAAAGATCTAAATCAATACAACTGCAAATTTCTGGTTTAAATGAACTCTGAAAGTCCTTCAAAGAAATGACTGGATGCTGTTTATGAAATTACAAGGCTGAAGATACCTGATCCTTCAGCTGGTTAAGGAGTGTTCCACCAATTAAACCAGGTCCAATGATCCCAACAGCAAGTGTAGTTTTGGAGAGGAAGAACCTTGAGTGAACAGCTCTCAGAGCCCTTACACAATCTTCTTGCTTCAATACAACAGTAATATTGTATTCACTGCAACCTTGAGCTATTGCTCGAACATTAATGTTTGCCTGAATCCGTTATAATAGGTTAATAAGTCCCAGCATCAATGGAACTCCCATTTCACCAAACCAAGAATGCAAAATACCTTTGCTAACGCATCAAAAAGTATTGCACTGACTCCAGGAGTGCTAGCCATCCTCAGACCAACAGCAGCAAGAATGCTGCAACCATTAATAACTTCAACCTGAAATGAATTGTTTGCATAAAAAAATAGAAGTAATCCAATGCACACAACAAAGACTTTGCTATACATTCACATCACAACTCATTAAGCTACTTCCCTTGCTAATAATATCACAAATCTGTAAACTGCAAATAGGGAAAGGAAAATGCAGGAACAAAGTACATTTGAGAGGTGTTCTATTATCTTTCATTTTGTTGCTGGGTTTTTGGAGGTGGTCTTTAATCTAAAGTCATGGTACCGACGAAGAATGGAATGAAAATTTTCTTCAATTTATTCTTTCTTGTGACCATGATATCGATTTAGCATCTTATTGTTCACTTGCATATATATATAACATTTGGGATGATGCTATTGCTTGGACAGGTGTGTCAATCCGAGTCATGTTTCGCCAGATGAGCAAGCTTCATACGTTTAGACTGGAAATAACATTATTCCGTTCTGAAAACTAACATGATTCGCTCGAATAATGTCAAAGGCCTTGCTTGGCACAGCTTATTCCTCAGTTTCTCCACAAATTAAGCAGAAGCTGTGCTGAACACCAGGATCCTGCAGCAGCTTAATAAGCAGAATCTGTGTTTGACTAGCTTTTCCAGTTGCAGATTATGCACAATAACAGGCTTTGTCAAACAAGGTCATTTAAGTCATGTTTGCTGATTCGAGTATTTAAAATAATCGCTGTAGAAGATGAGAATTACCTTAGATAACCTCCCTGCTGCTAATGCCTCACGAAACCTAACATGTAAGGCAGCAGAAACCGCAGCAACTTCCTTTTCTGGAACAGCAAAGCATACTGAATGTTCACTGCTAGCCTGCATGATATTTGCAGTGATGAAGAACCAAGATGAATCATATGTACATAGCAAGATAAATGGACATTATCTACCTGAGATATCATGATAACATTAGCTCCAACATCTTTAACAGCACTAAATATAGCACTTGCTGTACCTGGAACACCAGCCATTCCAGTTCTGCAGTGAAGAATTGTACAATAGAATATTAGGTAATACAAGAAATACCTTTTAAGAGTCACACAGTCAATAGTTAAGCCATTTTGTGTGTAGTTAGTTAACATTGCTACATCAGCCAAAAGCAGCATCTAGCGTAGATGTCTCTAGTGGACATGGCAACCAATTTCTATTGAAAGCCACATACAGAAGATCATGGAAGTTCAGTTTCACAAGGTTAATTGCTAAAAGCACAAATAATCAGTTGTATAGAACTTGGAGGTTTAAAATAATAAATTATGATAGCTTACCCTTCAACATTAACAAGTGCTAAATTATCGATGGTAGCAAATGATTTGACACATGCGTCTAAATCACCATTTTCATTGGCAGGCTGCTTGCAAATCATGGTTCCAGGGGCAGAGAGATTGAACATGTTCCTAATAACAATGGGAATGTTGTCTTTCATCACAGGTATAATGGTGCGCGGATGCAAAACATTCGCCCCAAAATATGACTGCATACAATAAGTAAATCAATGAGACTTAATGCGGTAGGGATATAATAGCTTGGAATGCAAAGAAAGAATGATCATAGAGCATAATTGCATAAAACATGTTGTGCCCCATTGCTCAAATGTAGTTAAATGATGAATGACTTGCATATGAACAACAGTCCCAAGAATAGAGAAAATACCATTTCCCAGGCCTCCTGGTAAGACAAAGTGCTTAAGATCACAGCCTCACTAACTGCATTAGTCAGATGCTTATAAATCAGATATATAATTAAATCGTTGATACAAGAGAAGGACATTGCCCTGTTTTAATAAAGAACTAGACAAAGCCAACATGTTTGCTTTCCAATATCCATAATGTGGTCATAATGATTTTCTGGATAATTGAAGTTTAAATGTTTGAAGTTTAAATGTTTCATTGGAAGATATATTTGCACCTACATCAAAATGGAGAGATCAAAGTACTTGGAGGCTTTCATCAGCACATCCAGTTCTTTGATAAGTACTTGGAGAGAATACACTCAATACCACGAGTGGCAGTATTAACAAATAATTACTGTTGCAAGTTTCTAGTTAAGTACATAAATCACACTATCACAGGATTTTAGTTAAGCAATGTCAACCGTATTATGGCAAAAAAAAAAGTATTATTTTGGGACTTAAAGGCTTTGTTGTTGTTGTTGTTGTTCTAACCCTTCACATGAACTGTTTGACATATGGATAGACAAGAATTAAAAGGATGTGAGTAGGCACCCTAATCCATGTGACACTTGCAACTCTTTGATCTGATCTATCAAAATCTCATCCAACAGGTGATGCAAGGGTTAGCACCCAAACATGAATTTGCACTATATGCATCCCCTAAATCAATTATGTGTATGCCAATGCCAACATCAGCAGTTTAAAATGGATCAGAAACAGTCAAAAAGCAAATTATGACTCTCTTAGGACAAACCTTTTCTAGGATCAGCGCTAAATACCCCGTCAACATCAGTCCAAATAGTGACCTGGCGTGCTCTGACAAGAGAACCAATTATGGCTGCTGAGAAATCACTTCCATCCCTTTTTAGAGTTGTAGGAATGTTTTCAGCGGTACTTGCAATAAACCCTGTAGCAACTATTATCTCAGCTGGTTGCCGAGAAAACCATTTCTGAAGTCGCTTCTCCGATTCCAAATAATCAGGGTCTACTTGATTAGAACCACTGGGTTTTACAACTAGAACTTCTCTTGTATCCATCCAACTGCAGGGTGCCCCAGACTGCATGGTTTAAATACTGCAGTGTAGGTCAGTTTGTAAAGAAAGGTAAACACTGGATCAAAATACCGGTATCCTGTAACTGTAACAAAGGAATGGAAGTACAACTTGTAGTTGTAAATGTTTATGAAAGACACACACGTCTAATGGGTAGCATTGTTACTATAAATACTCCATAAATTCCAAAATGTAAGGTGTTTTAGTTTTGTCCTAAGTCAAACTTCTCAAACTTTGACCAAGTTTATAACAAAATGCATCAACACCCACAACTATATGGCATTTGGATTAAATTCCTATCCAACTATATTTAAAACTCTAAATTATGGCATTTGGAGAAAGCAGGAGCGATGAATTCACTGCTCCTGTCAATAGATTCAGTGATGATCAATTTGCATCATCAGAGTACCCAACTATATCAGCACATGGTTACAAATGTTGCTGACATGCCAATTCTACGACATTGGAGTGGATAAGCTCGATGCAGCCTTAGTAAGTTGTTCCAATTGCAGATAACTATTAGCGTTAGTAGGTTGTCTAGCTTTTCCCATGTGTACCTTCTTTATTGCATACGACAGCATCTGCGCAGACCACAACTCTCCATGCCCAACAACAAAGTCCGAGAAAGATTCTGTCGCATGCCCAGCTGCAAACATATATAAATAAATATTAAATTGAGGGCATCTAGCAGACTGCAGATATCATGAAGTCAAGTTTTCCAAAATCCATGATAGCTAAAAATAACAAACAAGTAAGAATTCAACAAGCTGAGAATATACTTCCAGACCTGAGAAACAAAATTTGTTACTCAAGAATAGAAGAACATGAGATGTGGAGAACTTAGCAGCTCAAACCTATATAAATAGCACGGAGCATGGCTCGCAAGTTGCTGACGTCTGAGTGCAACTGAGACAAGAATCTTGCAAGATCTTCTCCATCAAGGAGATACTTTGCTGCAGCCATATGCTTCTCAAAAACTTCGTCCAATGCTATTGTATATGAATCATCCCTTGACTGAGCCTTCTGTACAAGGTTGTACATCATGTCGGTTACTTTGGACATTGCTGAAACAATTATCAGCTTCCTCTCAGAAGAATCACCAAGAACTATATCTGCGACACTCTGGATTCTTTGGGGTGTTCCCATACAGGTTCCACCAAACTTGTGCACAGACCACATATCACCTTTTGGAAGATAAGTATTGACTTCATCTTGTTCAACTGAAATAGCTGCCGCAAGCAAAAGGTGCATATGTAAACGAAAGTGACAAATCTTTGATAGCAATAAGTTCAGGGTGAGAAAAGGCTAGTATTTTCAGGGTGAAGCAAGGTTAGCATGGGATTCTGCTAAGAATAAGATATTCAAACATTGGATGATGGAAGGTAGAACTACCAGCAGCTGGTCTGAGCAAATTTGTTGAGCGATGTCTGTGCAAACTTCCTTGAGACTGACTTATCCTGAACAATAGAGCAAGACGGGAAAGAGGAATATTAAGTTTTTTTTTTTTTTTTGCAAGGCAATGCAAAGTATAAGTGGTAAAGAATGACACGATCCAGTAGAACACAATGAATAATTTATTAGTGGACAAGCACAAAACACTACCTTAGGGAGCCTCCCAGATATTGGTCTTGACTTGATTTGTACTTCCAACATTGTAAAACTGCTTCCCTGTAAATCAGCATAACATTGAAATAATGCATAAAATGATTGAAAGGATGGCAGATGATACTCGGATATGATGCATTTTGTTTTTAAGGAATGTGATATTAGATGGGACAAACTCCTGTAAATCTTGCAAGGAAAAAAGAGTAACAAAAGAGTGCAGACTGTCAAATCCAACAATGTGTAACCTGAAACCAGTATATGATGCAAGTTTGTGCATCCATGCTCCCCATTTTTGTGGAAGGCGAACAGTACAAGCAGACAATTCTAAATACATAGCTCATGGTTCATAACTTTCCATTTAAATGTCAAGCAGCGCCCTGTTCGTTTGGGCTGGTTTGGCTTATAAGCCATGCCTGAAAGTACTTATGGCTGGTTTGGTGTGAGAGAGAAATACTGTTCGTTGGCTGATAAGTCATGGCTTATAAGCCATATGCGAGCAAGCGAACAGGCTTCCATCGATGGATTTTCCATTTAGTAGCTCCAGAAAATTTGAGGGGCCAGCCAAGGACAACCCGTATAGCACCGAATATCATCAAATTTTTGATACACCGATGAAGTGCATAAGAGAGCCAGTATAGCACGGGTGGTAGATACAAGGTACACAGAAATTGCAACTTAACGTCGCTCCCAAGAGTAAGTTTACTAATCCCAACAAGGCAACAAATCAGGAAAAGCAGTAATCTCGTGATCGGGTTCAGCAGCACCAACAAAAGGAGACCATATCCATCAGATTCCCAACATTGGAAGCCCCAAATTAGGCATAAAAAAACCATCCCCACCCCCAAGTAAGACGAAACTAACTGCAGCCACGACTCTCTCACTAGTACTATTCGCCGCCTGATACCTTCGCCTCCTCCGGCGCTCGAAAGCCCCCACGCGATCAGAATCAAGGCCGCTACCATGACGGCGGAAACCCACCACGCCAACTTGCAATGCGACCACGAGCACTCGAGCGGGAGCCACTCGTACCACGCACGGCCGTACTAGCCTCACCGAAACAACCTCAGAGGAGGCGACAAATGTGGGCGAGATGGCGGGTCCTTACCTGGTAGAGGAGGACGCGCACGGCCGCCGCCGAGCTGCGGCCGCGGCGGGAGGAAGCGGGATTGATACGGCTAGGCCCTGCATCTCGCTCGCGGCGACGGCGAGAGCCGAGACCCGAGAGAGGGGAGAGGGAGAGGGAGAGGGACAGGGACAGGGACAGGGAGGCAATGCAGGACGCGCAAGTTCGCAGCAGAAAGGGACTGCTAGACTCCCAAACCCCTTCTTTAACCCCACTGTCCCACACAGAGCCTGCTTGCCTGCTGCCTGCTGCCTGCTGCCTGCTGCCTTGCTGCGGCAGTTCGCCTGGCTTTTGACGTTGTCGTTGTCGATTGGCAAATTTGGCTTTGGCCACTTCAAGGATTGTTTTGTTTTTGTCTGGAAAATCTGGACGCCAAGGTGACAGTCATTAAAAACTCATTAGCTGTCTTCCACATGGTGCAAGTAAACCATGTTCATGTTCGCTCATAATAGATTGTGATTTATGATTATGATTCTTGTGCACTCCGTATCCTCTCCTCCAATATTTCTAAAAGCCTACTTCAGTCTTGTTTGGATGCATAGAAATAATTGTTAGCTAGCTAGTTCTTAACCTAAATTAGTTCCAGCCCATCCAAACGGGGCTAATAAATGGGTAATTTGTTAGCTAAGCCTACAAATAGTTGTTAGCTAACTAGTTTGTCAACTTAACTAATTTGAGTTCATTTTTAGCAACTAGTCTTAGCTCATCTAAACACGTCCTTTGTTCTATACTCGGTAATTATTATAAGTATTCATGTTGTATCCTTGAAAAAAACAATGTAGTTATGCTATATTTGTGTAGATGTACGCGTTAGTACTTTTTATTTCCCATGTTTATAGAATGTTCTAGTTGTTTTTTCAATCATGATTGATTTATAGTATATTAATTTATAGTTAGGAAGCTCTCGTGTGCGGGGTGTTTTCAAAAAAATTGTTGGTGGAGTTGTTAATTTGTTTATTTAATGGATAATCCCCGCCTCTTGTCTCCTCATGACCAAAGGGACACTAGGCCCCTTCTCCAAACTCTCTTTTTTCTCTCATTCCCGTCGCCCATGTTCTTCGCCGCGTAGAGCCCTAGCAGGTTGACGGACGACGCAACCAAAAGTGTAGGTGTCGGTGTCCAACCATTCCGGGTAGTTGGATCTCTCATCCCCTAAATCCCACCTCTAATTGTTAGCTCCTTTCCTAATCCCTCCTTTAATTGTACTTCAGTCGCCATGGCGAGCCCCAGTTTGACGGGGGCGCTTCAACGCCTGGAACAGGTGTTGCTTGCTCTCATTGTGCTTGCAGAATGCAGGTCGTGTAAGGCGAAGGCACTACGAGCGAAGACACTTGAGAATTATGATCATTACTTCTACATTTGTTCTTGATTTTGATCAAAATTGGTTTGATGGGACTAATTTTATTGAAATTTTGTTCAGCGTTACGGAAGCGGGTGCTATTTTTGTATTGGGAGGATGACTATGAGTAGTTCTTGATTAAGAATGGATACTGCTAGCTAGTTATATGATTGCATTTTCTAGTCCTCCCTAGAGTCAGGTGGAAATGAAGATGGTTATTGAAGATAGTCAGTTGGGTCAGGAAAAAGGAAGCATGTTAAGTTCAGGAGGAGAAGATGGTTGACAATATGAGCGTGGACAAGATGGTTGACAATCTGAGCATGTTGGCTGATAGTATTAGGGATGTTGTGATGTTATTGAAAGTTGTCATGCTATTACTGAAAGTTGTTGTAGGTTCTTGTTTTTGTCACCGTGAAAGCCCTTGCTCTGCTATCATATGAGGCATACAGAGACCATGGACAGCCTTCAGTACGGTGTGCCCTCACCCTCCTCTTATCATTCCTTAGCATTTTGATGTCTATCCTATTCTTCATTGAGTACTCAATGACAACCTTCCTCACTATGCCAACTTATCATTCAAAGATCATTCCAACTTTAAAACAAGGATTGCTCGTGTCTTCTACCTTAAAACTTGTAAACTTCGAGTTGATTCTCCCTGCTGAATCTTCATCACTCATGTCCATCACATCTTCATTAGGTGAGCCATCTTCCTCATCATCTGGAGTACCTACTGCTCTTACACCCTTCAACCTACTACCACTAGTTGTCTTGCACCTTCCTGAGAACCCATCTTCACCTACATCAACATAAAGATCCTCACCTCCATCATTAGGATCATTGTCACTATCAAACAAGTCTTCCACCTCAGTCTTCACTAGTATCACTTAAGATCTCAACCTCAATAGAAGCATGTGGCAAATTCTTGTCAAATTTAGGTAACTCCACACCTCCTTTGCTCTCTGTGTGTTGGGCCTTCATAGGGCTAATCACCTTTGGCATCTCTGCCACTAGGTTGGCTACTACATCATCCCAAGTGGCAGATGCAACAATGTATTCATAGTCAATGTACACAACTAACGTCTTGACCCTATCCACAACAGAACACATCACATTGGTGTCTTCATCAGTTGATATAATTCTCATTCCATTAGCTAAATTCTTGTCTGGTAGTAGTAAGTATATCTTGAGCAGGCTAGAAATTGTGTAACCAAGTTGAGCAATGAAATCTTCAAATGATAACAGGGACTAGGTGTCCACTTCGCAACGATCAAACCAACTAATCTACCCATCCACATAAGTCCTCAAGTTACAAACACCAAAAAAACCGCCATGGTGAAGTTCTACTGTAAACTCATTAGCACAGCCACCTACAATGCATCCAACGTATCATCGAGTAAGAAATTGCACTATGCACTAAGCCTTAGCTAATTATAGAGGGTGACATCGAGTAAGAAAATCCCAATGCAACAAGAAAACCCTAATCCAACCTTGTCCCACCACTACTATAGATAGGCCATCACAGTCGGTTCGTAACCCTATCGCCGCCGATTTTGGCCCTCTGCGGTGAACTGTTAACGATGATGGCCATGGTCTCCACCGCCAGTTCAAAACCAGCTATGATATTATGCTAACATCGATGGTATGGAGTGTAATAAGCTACCACATTAAAGGTACCTTTGGTACGGATCCAAATTCTCCTAGAAGCGTTGCATATCCATATTCTATCTACAAACCTTTCTCATCATCATTTCAAAATAGAATCGCTTGGCAAGAATCATTGGTACCATTTGGCTATTGATATAGATTCTCTCCAAACAATGAACTAGAATCCCTAGGAGATGCCTATTTGGGTACATTCATCATTCATTAAGGTCCTCTTTGGAACACATGAATGCAATTGTAAAACAAAGGATTGGAAAATATAGGAAAACCATACAATTTGGGTCTTTGGATGGACATAGGAAATTCATAGAAATAGAAAATCTAGGAAATGTAATGATCCCAAATGCATTGGTTTAGTAACTAATAGCGTGATAATGTGTTATTATTTTCTAAAGAAAAACATCAATATTTATTGATTAATTATTAGAAACAGCAACGCCAACCACACATGCACCAATAGTCCATAGCATCGCTCCTATCCCTTCACATGCATGTTCATCCCCTTCGCGTCAATATTTTGTCTGTGCGTTGTTCGGTCAATATCTTCGTTCGTGTTTTTTTCTATCCGGTCCATAATTACAAACTTATAGTCCTTTTCCCTCGATCCTACATGTGAACCAGCAAAAGAAAAAGGTCCAAGTAGTTTTTCATTCATTAAAACAAAGATACATTTTGACTACATGATTGTACTCGGCCTAATACATTATAGACCTAAACTATAAATCTAAACTACTTAATCTTAGGAAGATCCTTGTTGTCAGAGCGAGGATCATTCTTCCTCGGCCACTTGCGAGGAGGCTCATCGTCATCGTCATCATTGTCGTTGTTGTCATCGTCGCACTACTAGAAATATCCACTTCTATGATGATCAGCTTTCGTCACTGAAGGAGCCAAATTCGTCATAATTTTAGTTTTATGACAAATTTATGACGAAAAATGGTTCGTCATAGAAGTCGCGTCATTCTTGTAATTCTATGACGATTCTAGCAAATCATCATAGAATTGGATAGATCAATGATGAAAACTGATCGTCATAGAACTGCTTTGGCATGTGTGGCAGGGGGTAGCCACGCTGGTGGATGCTTTCGTTGGAGATGCTTTCCACGTGCACCTGCTATAGCCGGTTGCATCAGAGATGGTTCGGGTACGTGTCACTTTGTTATTGGACAACGTGGTCATCTCTGGTTCTTGCACGTTTTAGGTTCTTAATGGACCACGTGTTGGGCCCCTGTTGTTCTACATGTTAGTTTTCTATTGGCACACGTGTCGTGTTGCAGTTGGGTCACATATCACTTCTTCATTGGACCAAGTGTCATATTTTTATTGGTTCATGTGGCGTGACCACAATACCCCGCATGTCTTTCTTTTACTCGACCACGTGTCTCGATGTTGTACGTCTGCGTGTCAGTATTTTATTGGGCCATGTGTCACGCCCTGAGCTACCCACGTTTTTTTCTAATTCGACCACGTGGTAGGATGAATTTGTACCATGTATTTTGTTTGTATTGGCCCATGTGCCCTGTCATGGCTATTACACGTGTCATTCACTGGTTCGTCCAGGTGTCAGATTCTTATTTAACAACGTGCCTGTGCTGAATCTACCACGTGCACATCAATCATTACATCAGAGAAAATGATTTTAGATCTACACTGCTGCACAAAATGACTACATGCATAATTATATTGAACCTAAATCAAATAACAGCAGATCAGCTCAGCAACAAACCACTGACAGAGTTCACATATCATGCCGCCAAAATCAGCAAACAAACCACATGTTCACTGCATCAACAAGACTGAGAGTTACCAGCGCTTAAGAGCATGATATTCTCATGAAGCTTATTGTACTCCTCCTGTTGCTGTTTCTTGAACTTCTCAAACTCCCTATCAGTGTTTTCTGCCTTCCTCTTCAGTTGATCCACTTGTTCGGTGAGGACAGCTAAACTTTCCTGATGAGCAGCAAGTCGTTCCCGAAGTCTGGAGCAGCTTGTCCTAATACCAACATTCTTCAAAGAAAATGTATTGTAGCTAGCCTAGGAGAGGACCTTGGAAACAACATCAGCAATAGGTTCTGCTCGTATAGTTTCCATAGCTTCTTGCGAAAATCAAGGAGTAAACATTAGGAAGAGAACTTAAATTGCAGAATTAAGGGAATATTTCAGCACAAGTAATGCATAGGTCTTCCTCAGCTTATTGCCGACAGAGATTCATAAGCACAATGCATAGGTAACATATTAACTGTTGTAATATAATAACTTCAAAATGATGGTGCCACTTTAGGCTCCTCCTACTTTTCCTTCTTTTATGCCATTGGCTTCAGCAGATTTCAAGGAAAGCAAATAAAGGTACTTACCACTGCTTCTCTTGCAGCATCACTCAGTCCCATGTTGCTACTGGTATGGAAGTTGTTTAAGATTCTCACTGCATCAACATCTTCATGAGGTCGATCATGTTCTTCAACGAGCACTTCTTGATCATGTCTTGCGTCCTTCCTGTTTTTGTCCTTCTGTTAAAATTGCACATGCCTTTCTGTTGACACAAAAGGCATTGTGTATTTGATATAAAAAGAGTAACACAACCATCACTTACATATGCTTGCAGGTGGGCAATATAGGAGCGAGATCCTATAACCTGGTGGCACTTGACTTTTGCACGGTTTCGCTTGTTTTGCTCCGAGACTGCCTATAACCACAATTGTGTTAGACTGTAACATAAGTAGACCACATAAAGACTAGACAAGAAATAAATGAGTTCACACACACCTTGTTCTCGGAACTTAACTACATGTGGAGAAGTGCACACCACTGTGTGTCATTCATGCAAGACACAGGAGAGGTCTTTCTGATTTCATCAGCGGGTACGCCGTTGAAGTAAGATCGCTTGAACCTGTACCATGTCTGCCATACAACAGACTGTAATACACTCGTGCATGCTTCTTTTGTTGCTTCATCGTTGTCATCAATGGCCAGCCTCAACTGCAGAAGTGTGAATGCAAATTAAATCCATTACTAAGTTGCTCAAGGCAGAGTTGAATGTCAATAGAGGATATACATACTTACAGATAGCTTGGCCACAAATCCATTGAGAAGTTCAATCCGTTGCTTGTAATGTTTCCAGTGTAGGAAAATTGGTACTTGAGACCTGACTACTACACCTACCTCTGAGGCAAACTTGGCAGCTTGCAGTGGATCATGTGGCCTTCTGTTCCCCTTGACAACCGAGATGGGCATCCTTGTTCCCATTAATTAGGTGGTTTTATGAAGCCCAACCCCCTAAGTTGCTTGCCTCGACTTCCTCGCTCTTCTTTGCAATGGTACTACATAGTTTTCATACATTCAGATTGTTAGAAAAGTAACATGGATATCAAATAGTGTGACTTGATTTATAGACATATCTAAGGTAGTACCAACCTTCGCAAGTTTGGTCATTATGCTGGTGGGGAGGTGGAGCCTCCTCTTCGGCATGGCTAAAATCATCTTCATGTGACCAGTCCCTTACAAGACTTTGTTTGCCTTGTGCGTGCTGACTTTTGGATCTAGTTGGAACTATAAGATGCTGCAACTCTGCTAGACTAGTTGGCTTCACTCTCTTAGATTGCCATCCCCCAGGACCCATATCGGTGCTGCCTTTTGCCCTGCTAGCAGGGACTTCTTTATGGCTTTTTCAACCCACAGCCTGAAAATTGGAGAAACAAACTTAAGCGGCAAGCATGTAAAAATTGTATTGCTATCCACACAACAAAGAATTGAATTGCACTGCTACCTAAACCAACCCCCTCCCATCCCAACATGACAAGATAGAACAAGCACCTCAATTGCAAGGGGTACTCGCTCTTCTAAATCTGTATCTGTATCACCATATCCCTGAACATGCTCCCCTGCTTTAGGAAGATATTCCAGATGTCAACATATAGATCACAAAGGCATTTATTGAGTTAACCTTGTACCAAATGTCAACAAAATAGAGTAGGAGCGTGCAAATTAGGCACCTAAACTATAGCTTATATGGAAGCCATTACTTGAATAAAGCACATGTGAACTACATCTCAACTAAGAAACATGTAACCCCGTCACTATATATCTACATGTCCCAAATTCAACCACTAGAGTACAACACGCATCATAAAAAGAATTTGGGTACCTCTTCCTATTCCTGGGCTACGTCGTCGGCATCGCCCTCTTGTCATCCTGGTCGCAGAAGTGGTGCGGCTGGCATCGATGAAGGGGTAGCAGATCTAGTGTGGCGGTCGTCAGTGATGATGCTGGGGCTTGGTCGTGATAGGTGACGACGTAGGGGTGCAGATCTGGCATGTATCGCCACTGACGGCGGTCCTTCCATCGTCAGTGGACCTGCTATCGACGAAGGGGGTCGGCTCCAAATTCGGCTCTAGCTCCGGCTAGGGTTTGGAAAGGTATGAGAGAGGGTGCGGCTGGAGAGTGGAGAGGGAGTCAAGCTGTTGTGCCGATGCGCCTATCTAAGGT